CTAAATAACCAAAAACATTTTAAATCAGAAAACAAACAGTTGCTTATCAAAGTAAACTCACTTTGTTTATTGGTAAAATAATATTGTATCTACGAAGATAAGGATCAATTGAAGATGAAACTTCTTCTGTAATACCACCTAAATCTTGTAATAATAATGAACCCCGAAGTAAAACTTCTGATAGCCAATCATTCGATTTGATATTATTAATATCCAAATTATTTTCGTATCGATTAACTGTTGACGTAGAACCAAATGATTTAACAAAATTCATTAAATTTCTTCGTACAAGGTGACTAATTTCGCTGATCGTTCGTTCAAGACCATTTTTATCATTAGAAGTTCTTCTTAAAGTTATTGGCGTTGACATTGGTCCAAATAATTTTATTAAAAAATGTTCAATAGCTCGTTCAGCTGGATCCAAATGTTTTGAATTTATAAAAGTATCTAATGAATTGTTCGTCCATGATTTTAAATCACGATCATTTTTTCGAGAACAAATTATTGATGTTAAACTCCCTAAAAATAAAATATACACATCAATGGTGTTTAATTATATTAATATATTACTATATATATTATATATTATATATATATATAAAATAATGTCAAAACTACTTAAATTATATTTAAATGATCTTACCGAGACATAAAAAGAAAAGTATTCCTTTGGAACGCATGTTTGTAAAAAACTGATCTCTTAAAAAAAATTCTTTCATCTTTTATAGTTTTTCTAGCAGGTGGATTTAAAAAATTTTCGATAAACATGTTTGAAATATTACAAATTAATGTCACTCTTTAAATTTTATTATTTCCTAATCATTTCAATTTCAATGTTTTTCTTATCAAAACCACATTATTTATTTCCTTTTTTTTATTTATTTTTAAATTATAAACCTTTTTTTTATAGATCTAGATAAATATTAATAATAATAATAATATTTTTAATATAACAATAATATTTAAAATTTTTATAGATCTATATAGATATTAACAATAATAATAATATTTTTAATATAATAATAATATTTTCTTATTAATACGATTTACATTTCTTCTTCTATTTTTAATTATTAACTTTTTTTATAGATCTATATAAATATTAATAATAATAATAGTACTTTTAATAAAATAATAATAATATTTTTAATATAATAATAATATTTTTTCTTATTAATACGATTACTTATTTACATTTCTTCTTCTATTTTTAATTATTAACCTTTTTTATAGATCGATATAAGTATTAATAATAATAATAATAATAATAATAATAATAATAATAATATAGAATTTTAATAGAACCAAATAATATATATATGTATATATATATGTCATCATTGGTTTTGTATATAATCTACTCATGTATGTATACGTAGTAGTTTTCATTGAAGAAGTTCTTTCACAATCGGTGACTATAGTCGCCATCTAACGGGTGTACGATAAATTAGTACTATGAATGAAATTCTCTTGATCATCTGCAGAGTATAACGACATTATACCTACCTTTGACGTATACGTTCTATCGGCGCGACTGTCAGCCGGCACTTTGTGCACACTGTACATTTTCTTATATAAAATCGATAAACTTGTTGTACGAACAGTTTCTTCCAGTGTTACTTCCATACCGTAGACAAATCTTACCTGCATTAAGTCTTAAGAAAACTCCAAGGTGTGTCTCACGTTTACGTTTAACTACGAAACATAACGGTAATATACTAAAGAAAGTAATAAAAAAAAAAAGAAAAAATCCAAAGAAAAGAAAAAACCCAATTGACGTGTGTACGATACGCGTGTACGTAAAAATAAAAAGAACATAATATCAATGAATGTATCGTTTTTTAATAAAATACATTCATTTATAACAAATTAATTATTATTCGTGATTCGAGATCTAATAGATCAATTAACTCAAGATGGACGAAGATGCTATGTGGAAAAATTTTTATCATAAAATTGTGGAAGAGAAAGAGACGAAAGAGAAGGAACAAAAGGAACGCACGGATCATGAATTAAGGTAACGAGTTGATTGATCAACATAAATTGGTTGCAATGGTGGTTCAATGTAGTTTTCGATTAAAAAGAAATACAAAATAAAAAAGTCATTCTTTTTAATGAAATTTAAAATGAACAAGTACATTTAATATGCATACAGATAAGTGCAATAATCGATAAGAAAATCTATAAACTATTATATATATATATATATACAGATTCAATTTAAAACGATCGATAGTAATTTAAAAAAATATTTCTTCTTTTTTGTTTTTTAATATTTAAACAAAATCTAATAAAAGATAAAATTTAAACTAATTATTAATGGTGTACATTTTAATAAGTATTTACGATGCAACCATGTCTATGCTACATGACTGTTGTCAGGATCTATTTATAAAGTTGAGAGTAAGCAAGGTAGAGACTTTACCGTCGCATTTTCGAAACACATCTGCATAGTAGAGTAGTCTCCTAAATACATCTTCTTCCCCCTCCCCCCTTTCCCCTCTCATCCTCTCTCTCTCTCGTTGTTTTTCTTTTTTTATATCCATCTCTTTTTCTCTCTGATCCAAGAGAATGTTCAAGGTCGTTCGTAACATTTCATGATTCATCACCGGCAGACTTACTTATTACTTAACGAGCTCTCTTTCTTTTTTGTAGAATTGAATGATCAAACGTTGAAACATCGTTTGCGAATAATATTAAAAATTACTTACACCTTGAATTGAATGATCATTTTCTTCAATAAGTTTAAATCGATAAGAAATATAATATCTGATCTTTTTGTTCTTAGTTTCAGTCGACACTTTATACCTTGAAAGTGCGTGTTGCATAAACAGTATTGTCTAAACAGTAAATGTTTTACATTCTGTCTCTCCTTAAACGGTGACGAACTATCAGGATACGTGCTTGTTTTATGAATAATTTTCTTATGACTCTTTATATATATATATATATCATACATATCATATCATAAATATCAATATATATATATTATCTATATTTACGAAGAATTTTCATTTCTTTGACTTGTATTCAGTCAACTTCAATATAATTCAATCTACAATCGTAATAATAAATCATCGTTATAGTGGGTGTAACAAGATTATCCAAGAGTGTAGGGAAGTCCGAATTAAAATTGTTTCATTGCTGTTGGCGTTAATCTGAAAACTAATGAATAATTCAAAAATCCGATAAGTTGTATTCCTTTATTGCTATAAGCAATAAACCATCTCTCGTGGAATCGATTTTAAGTGGTGAGATTAATAATTTTCTGTTTCATACTTGCGTTAATGATCCAATAGAAAGAGAGAGAAAGATAAAGAAATAAAAAAGTAAATGTTTCTCAGTTTTATAATTTATGAAATAAACTATCTAATTTATTCATTGTTCGCGTATTTGATCTTTAAAAGTACGGCCTACGATTCTACAGGAAATTCCTGATTTCGTCATCGATGTCATTGACATTAGGTGAATGGACAGAAAAATACATGTAATTATGAAAATGAATACTTCATTACATACGTGATGTATTTATGTACTTCTAATATCAGTCATAAATATGTCAAAGTGGTGTTTGTACAAAAGAAAAGAAACTTACACGAATGTACATATATTATTTTTGTTTTAAAAGTATTCTTTTCACGGGCTATGAATCATTTGTAGTTTTTCTAAATTGAAAAAAAAAAAAAATAAATAAAAATAGAAAAATAAACATCAACGGGATTAGAGCATTGACGTAAGGAGGGATTGATTGTCTCGATTTTTACTTTTATTTTCTCAAAGTAAAGTTCGTGCGTATTTATAGTTTCAACTCTCTAACAAGTTAACAAGTGTACAAAGAAAGGTGCGTCGAAAGTTAATTCTCGATGGATCTAAAACGTTTGGAAAATCTAAGAAATACATTTTTTTTTGTGCGTGTGTGTGAATTTTCCTTATTAAAAGATATGAAGGAAAAAAGAAGATGAATATATGCATGTATATCGTTTTATTGGAATTTACCAAATGAATCACACAAAGATGATCTCCTTAACTATTCGCGTACACGTTAAGAGTACACATTGTAAATTAATTTCTACTTATCTTATCGGTATTAAATGGTTTTTTTTTTTTAATTTATTCAAATTTTATCTGATTATATCATGAAACATTTGGTATGGAAATGACATTTATAAGAATAAAACTCAATGACTTGAGTAACTCTAAACAAACTTGTTTTTTTTTTAAAGTTCAACCTTAGAAATGAAGGAGAACTTTTTAGTAGCGCGACATACCTATATGTATCTATATATATATATATGTATAACATATATAGGTATACACAACCTCCTACCTATTATTTTCCTTCTACCTGTATGAATCGTATCTTTAAACAGTTTGTAAAGAGACTTGATCCAGCCTACACGCTTTCTCACGAGCTACACATATTTATATATATATATATATATACATACATCTATGGTAAAATTCCCCACGTTCTTCGTGCTCTTACGTGATTAACATCTTCCCGTGAATGATCGTTACAAGTTACAAGCTAAGAAACGAAATAATTTCACATTGGATCGTTTTCTTGCGAAAAGTATAGGTCTGTCGGTAAAGCTTCTCTGGTATCTACTGGAAAAAGGAAATACCAGAGAGAGAGAGAGAGAGAGAGAGAGAGAGGAGTATTCATTGAAAGTTCGTACCAATTTCAAGAAATTATCTTTAACGATAATTAACACGTTCACAGTTAAAAGGAGATTGCAAAGTCAGAGCGACTGATAGTTCGTCTTCATTATCGAAACTGATCGTGTGTATGTGTTTATGTCTATAATGATATTATCAAAGGTGTGAATTGATCGATACATTTCTGGAAAATGAAACTTTTCTAATAATAATTGTTCAATCGTGTTAGTGAAATGATTTTATTTATTATGAAGAAGATATAACGCATCGATAGATAACAGTTTATTCGTCATCGATAATTCGAATAGGAAATACGATTGTCTTGTTTTTTTTTCCTAAAGGAAGAAAGGATTATACAAAATGGCACATTTTCATAAACTGGACGAAAAACATCCTTATTACGCGATAGCTGCTGTTCGTATGTCACAAAAGCCAGAAAATAAACCAGTTACTACAGCTAGCATCTATTGGAAATTTGCAGCATTCAACTTTATTTCTAAAAGGTGAAACGTAGTAGTATTACGACTTCATAATGTTGAATGGCTTATTTAGTAAATGTATAATTCATTTTTTGGTTTGTTATTTATCGACAATTTTTCAATATTTCATTATTCGTTTGTATTGCTTTTATAGACGAACAAACACACATTAGAAAAGTGCAACGTATAAGGTATGCGCCATTATGCACTTGTTTCCATCGATGTTGCAATTTTGCTTGATTTTATTTTTCTTCTGCAACTCGATTAAAAAATTGTATTTTACTTATCGACGTAAACGTTTATCGCGTTTGAGTTGAAAAACAAAAACGAGCGCATTGATTGCTAACATTTTGTTTTTTTGTTTACAGTGCGATATATTGTACGGTGATTAAAACTGGATTTTAATTTGGTAGGGTATAATGTTTAATTATTTGGGACAATGTTTGATTATACTAGTTAATAGGTATTTTGCATTTGTCGTGTTATGTATCAATTAGTATGCAGTTTTGTGCACATAATCGGAATTTGTATTTTATAAAACTGGATTTTAATTTGGTAGGGGATAATGTTTAATTATTTGGGATAATGTTTGATTATACTAGTTAATAGGTATTTTGCATTTGTCGTGTTATGTATCAATTAGTATGCAGTTTTGTGCATATAATCTAAATTTGTATTTTTTAAAATGTGTTAGCGTGTTAAGTTTTTTGAGTAATTTAGATTTATATATATCTTTTATTACCATATTTTATTAAAAACAGTATTGAGTTTTGAATCTGCATTTGTTGTTTGTATTTAATTACACTAATTTTTGTTAGTAGTATTTTTAGTTGCTTGTTATCTATTATATTTTATTTATAATCTAACAATAAGTGTACTGTTGACTACGTAGAACAAATCTGATTTTTTTTTTTTAACTGAATTCAGCAGCACAAAATTAATTCAAACGAATTATAGAATAAAAGTGGAAATTTATTGATTATTGTTATTTGTATTTAGCATTGAGTTGTTTAATTCCTAGAAAATTTGTACCATCTTTTTTTCTTTCCTTTTTCATCATTTTATCACGTTTTCCTTGAACACCAACAAAGTAAGAATTTTTCAAATTTTTAATTTTTTTTTTTCTCAAACTGTCAACATGATTAGATCATCTGCAGTTATCGTGTAATGAAACGTAAGAAATATTTTGAATTTTGATTGCTGCAGGATACAGGAAATCGATGGTGGCTTCTTCGAAAATCTTGGCACGTTGTTGGTCGAAAAAGTACGTGCTCAAGAACAAATTGAAGGACCAATTCCAAAAAAGAAAGAAGAAACAGGAGTTGAAGACGATGATAGTCTTAGCGAGGTTGAAAGCATCGAGGAACCAACCGAAGCTTTATTGGAAACTGACAGTGATCGAGATGAGAAAGAACATGCACATAATTTTTTGATAGATTCCGTTGGCCTAAATGTAAGTCAATTTTACATAATATTTTTCATACGATCAACAAAATTAGTTATATTATTTTTCGTTCAATTATACAATTAAAATAATAATAATTGGGTGCGTGTAGGATGAAAATCAGAAATCAAATTAACTCGAAATATATTCATGGGTTTTGTCAATAAGTGTAATAATTTATATTTAATTATTTAATTAAATTTTTAATATATAATATTATTAAATTATTAATATATAATTAGAATAATTTATATTTAATTGTATTTAATTAAAAATATGCTATCATTTTTGAATATTATATGAATATTATTTTTGAATATTATATAAATATTATTTTTGAATATTATATTTATATTATTTTTGAATTTGAGAATTGAGAAATGAATTTAAGGATTAAACGGCATCTTTATTTATCTTCTTTAATTGCAAATATCTAAAAAATTATTGAATAGCGGCCCCTGTAACCATATATATTCGTGAATAGGGAAGCAAAATCTATTATCCTATAAAATGTGAACAAAATCCGTGAGGACATGATCTTTCACTCCCCTTGTAAGCCAACTTTATTACAAAATTTAAAACAATATTATTTTCAACTAAAGTTAAATTTACTTGAAAGAATTTAAATGATCCTTTCATGAAAAATAAATCCGAGACTACCCCTATTCGAATTTAAGACTATACAAATTTTTGTAGCTTTGAACATTTGAAATACTCTAAATGCTCGTAAATTTAAAAGCCGTAGAATCTATTCGACATATTTCGGTCATGAGATAGCAAGCTGTTCGTTGGAGATGTTTCTTTTTTTAGATTCGCGTTTCATTCCCACATTGTGAGAAAGAAGATCTTAATCCTCGAATAAAAATAACAGAAGCCAAGTGTTATTGAAAGACATTAATGAAATCGTTTTTAGTTGTATCAGTTTAACGTTGATGATGGTTTTATCCTTTTCTCACGTCAGCATTCTGACGTAGTATACATATGAGAAAAATTCTCAAGTGATTCCATACGGAAGCAAAAGTTTATAAGTAACATTGAACATAACGATTTATTTGTTACTAATTAAAAAAAAAAAAAAAATATCAAACTTAAGTAAACCATTATTTCATAATAATTCGAATCAGATTTTTCATCTAAGCAAATATTGTATAATTATATGTACTATACATCAATGTTTAAGTTCATTCGTTTATAATCATTCGATTAAATGTTTTGATATTTTTTAATACTAAAAAATCGTTGAAAGATAAGTTTCATGTGTAAAATATTTTTGTTTAATTTTACGAAAACCTACATAAAAGTAACGATTGATCGATATTTGTCTGTGTATTCGAATGATAAATTCATTTTTAGACGTCGGATCGATAACTCGTCTATTGTTTATACTGCAGTTACCCTCACATGAGTGAGTAGTCCTGACGATCGTCCTGATATTGATTTTTCAAAGGTTACATGGTAGCTCGTCGAAGGGTTGACGGAGAAACTTACTTTCTCATTGTAGTACTAACTGTCGTCGTAATAGTTTGTTTTGGTTACGCGAGTGTTAAGGGTTGTTTGAGTAATGAGTCACAATGGTGTGCAACGTAACACGGGAAGTTAGGTGTTCCTGTTTCCATCAAAAACGTGAAATTAAACGTAAGTTTGAAAAAATTGATCAGTCAATATTTTTCGATCATATTTTTATTTAAAATAGTCGACATTTTTTAAATTTTACACCCCGAATAGAAAAAAAACATCAATAATCGATAACACGAAAAATGAAAAAATTTTATGAATTATCTTCTACAACGTTATGCAAAAATTCATATATTAATTTTTTGATATAAAAATTAATTGATCAATTTTTAAAGAGTTACATTTATATATTATTATAATTATTAAGGTAAATTATTAATTATCTGTAATTTTATGATCTTTTGTTTGGTGATAGTTGTTGCATTGTCAAGTTTTCACTTATTATTTTTTATTCTATATAAATATCATGAATAAAATTTACAAAAATTAATTTAATTTTTATTAAAATTTAAATTTATTTAAAAATTAATAAAATTTATCTAAATTTTATATAAATATATATAAATATATTTTATATATATTTATATTTTATATATAAATATCATGTGTATAATGCAAATAAAATGTAACTAATTTATCGTGATTAAATCTTTACAGTCATAATAAAAAAAAAAAAAAAAAATCCACAAATTCTAACACGCGAGAAATTGACAATTACAATTAACATAAATAAGATATATAACATTACGAATAATTATACATACATTAAATAAAACTTTCATAATATATAATTGTATCACACAAGACACGAAACAAAAAATATGTTTTATAGATGTGTTAACAATGAATATAGTAAATGTTACTTAACAAAAGGACTTTCCGTTCTACTTTTAAATCCGACCACTTTTATCACAATCGAGAGATAAAGGAGCAATCAAAGTAGAATGTTCAGAATATTAATTCGAAAAGAAGTCTCAATGTCGAGTTTAGATACATCATTAAAAGAAATCAAAGTCGTCGTAGTTTCACACGATACTTTCTTTCCCTTTTAATTTTTGATCAATTGAATTCAAATCAATAATTTGAATGATCCCTCTCTCTCAATTTATTATTAATATTTTTATTTAATATTTATTTTATCATTAATATAATTAAAGTTCAATCAATGATTGATTTATAAATCGTCAATATCTATTTAAAATACATACATTCAATACTATAATTATTACTTTCTATTTTAATCTGGAATAAACACAGGGATACAAAAAATTAGAGTATTATCTTTGATAGAGAAAGGTAATATACACCTATCACGTTTGTATCAATGTAATTGTAAAGTATTCTAGTTTGGATAATGACACCCTTTCTATTTCGATTCTTGCAATTCTATAACCGATAACCGAACTCACGTGCATCTCTATAAATGCAAGATTAACATTCTAAGTAAATTGAGGGAAAAGTGTGTGAGATAGAAACGGAAAGAGAAAGAGTAAATTGTAAAGAGTGAAGAAAGAGAAAAGAAATAACAAGAGTTAGGGTAGTATTATCCTGAAAGCTCAATCGGAGTAGTTAAGTTCCATTCGAAACGTAGTTCTTGGTGTTCGTTAATGGCAACTATGACTACAAACTACGACGACGACGACGACCAACGACCAACGACCAACGACGACGACGACGACGACGACGACTACGACGACCAACAACGAACTGTGATCCCAACGATCTATCTATTCCTGGCAGTGTTGAGCTTGCCTCCGTCAAGTCCCTGTCTTCTCTTCATCTCGCGAATGTTATCCTGATTATATATCTTTATCTTTTTTTTTCTTTCCTTTTTTACCTCTCTCTTTCTCTCTCTCTCTCTCTCTCTCTCTCTATCTTCACACGTCTTTTATAACGTTTGAGAAAGTGACCNCCGCCCGCCCCCCTCATTGTGTTCGTTGTTGATTATCGTTCACATCGTTAACAAAATAAAGTGCGTATGATTTGGATTATTGGAGTTAATCGGGATTTTATTATAATTCGCGAGTTTATTCAAAATTGATCAAATCATATTATAGTTCTGTTGAAATTATTTAAACAAATATTTTCATCTATTTGTTATGGGAAATATTTTGTTTTTCATTGTGTTTGATGAATTTTAATATATAAAAAATTCATGTGTATAAATTTAATGTTTGATTTAATATGTAATCAAAACGAGTTTATTTGAAATTGATCGATAAATCATAGATCATTGATTTGATTTTTTTTTGAAAAGTTATGGGTGATAGATAAGATAGAAATGTTTTCACTCTACTGAAGATTCTTTGTTAATAGATGCGCGTGTAATTATTATTTATAATATTTTTATATAGAATATCAGTAAGACCACTGTTATTGGATATTTCATATTCCATGGTTTTACGATTGTATTAATCGTTTTAAAATTAATTAACTTTTACGATATGGAGAATTGAATCATTTTAATCGACGAGTTTCTACTTCTCGACTCTTGCCATTAGTTCGCGAGTGAATTTCGTGGAAAATGCGTGTGCGGGGATTTATTTAAGATATATGTATGTATATAAGTAAACTTCTACTCGGAAAATAAGGTTAAGCAATATTCTCTGTAAAATAATTGAAAAAAATAAGCAAATTTACGGAAATACCATTTAACAAATAATTAATTTCTTTTTCTAGTATTTTGTATCTCTTTTATAAGATCATTCCATTAGCGTTAGATGAACTCATATTTTAATAAAAAAAAAAAAAAAACATTTCACAAAAACAAAGGAGAAATTAATTATAAAAATATTTCTAAAGTTTCGAATCCAAAATAGGTGAGAAAAAAGAAAAATAAAAAAAAAAAGAAGGTTAAAATTCTTGAATGAACTTCACCCACATAACGTAGACTCGGAAATAGAACGACGATGCGTAAAATTGGACCAGGAGAAAATTGCATAATTTTACGAAAATTGGGCGTCAGCTGAGTAGGAAGGACGGTAGTCTCGCACATCTACATATTACATACAGTAATACATATTCGTGTATACTTCACATACCGGGTGGTTCTATCTCCGTGTATGCCTTGATGGTCAACGAGCTAATTGCCGGTATATCAACTTTCATTGGACACAATTGTATGAACGTACTAACGCATTGTAGTTGCATTTGCCCTGTGGGTCAGTTCAAACGGGATATGGCATACTTTTGTACTCTTTTTATATTTCTTTGTTGATATCATTTCTACGATTAATATAAGACGCAATAAACAACGAATATTTCAAGTTTATTTTTTTAAAATAAGATTAATCTCTCTCTCTCTCTCTCTCTCTCTCGTTGAGTTCTTATATAAATGTATGTATATACAAGATGTTTCAAAATATGTGTGGGTATAACTTTAATAGTCATTTAAGTATGTTAAAATAAAAAAAAAAGAATATGGTAAGATCTTGTTTTTGAATTATAGTCATTTTTGTCTGTCAGTTAGTTGTGTGTCTGTCATTTATATTATAATTTAGGAACAAGGCTACATCGAATATATGATTTTAGAAATCTTTTTTTTTTTAGAGTACTTAAACATATTCCTGAAGTTATGTTCACATATTTTGAAACACCCTATGTATATATACAAATTTATTTCTTTTATTTTTAATACGAATATCCCATGCAGTATGCAGTGTATTATTTTTAATTTTAATATTGTTTGATTAAAGTATGAGCGTGATTTATGAAATAAACAATTTAAAAAGAGTGATAATCTTAAAACACAGGAAACTTCATTGTCAGAGTCAATTATACTTGGCAAAGTTTAGTCAATTTAACTGAGGATGCAACAGACAGCTTCAATGTTGATCTACTAATAGATATATCTTGTTATTTTGTCTATTATCTCTATAAACGTATGCATACGCGTAAGTCTCTTAGCGAACGTTCTCTCTTTTTCGTACTAATCATTTCTTTTCTATTCGTGATTGTTTACGAGTAATTGATTCGTCAAGAGAATATTTTTTTTTTTCTAAAGTAATGGCAAAGAATCAACTATTTGTACTATACCTTACTGCATTCCTATTGGTTCTTCTTTCCATGACGTATGTTAGAAAGTGCTAAAAAAAGAGCACTCGGACATATATTTATATATTTCTTTTGTAAAACGAATAATTTGTGTATCTATCTGCCTTTTATTCGTTGGAAGAACATTTTCTTTTTCCTTACATATTAAATAATAATTATGTATTTATAAAATTTAATTATTCAATTCGATAGAATTATTTTAATTAAATTTTAACAATCTTTTTTTTCTTCTTCTCTCTTACGAATTAATATATAATTTGATTATCTATCTAAATAAATATATAATAAATATATGATAATATTATAATTAGATTTTATATTTCATAAAATCAGTTCCTCGATAAAAATATTATTTTGATAAGGAAACCAAAAAAAAAAATAAAACAAGATTATTTACGTATTATAACTGGACTTAATTGGATTATGTATTATTGGTGATTATGTATACGAACGATTGAATAATCATCAGTTTGTTTTATCGTTTGATAAGAAAAGGTCATGGTGAAAGTTCAATTTTGACGAAATACAAATGTAAATAAGTCGTTTTAACTAACGCACATTGTTTTCTTGCAGTCTTGTTAAAAACTTTAATTTATGTTGTTTGTCTTTGTATCGTGCAGTGAATCGTTCGTTATGATAGATCGGTGAAAAAGAAAGATCGGTTTCGATCATGTCACCACAAGTGTTCAATCGTGGTCAATCTTTCTTCGTGTGTGCTAGAACTCTTTATTCATTATTCGTACGTCTTTGTCTCGGTGTTAACGTATGATAAAGAAGTTCTTTGTTCCTTACTCGAGAATAAGCTCGTTGTAATATATACTATATATAAATAAGTAAAGAAAGATTCTCAAGTGTTCAACATCGTTATCCATACTTTCCCGATTTTGAAATGAGAAAGAATTTTAATGGAACATATGAAAGCATGGTCATTGTTTTTGGCTAATATGTGGATTTTCTCTGGGTCATTGTCGCCTTGTCCTAAATTCTTCTTTCTTAAAATTTAATTTGTCTCTTCTACAGTCTTTCATCATTTAAACAAATGCCAAATGGCAATTCTAATTTCTTAAGGCCACCAGTCGTAAATGATCTATAAATAAATTTGGTAGTGACAGTGCAAAACTTTGATCCCTACAAGTTTGACGAGACTTCTATCTTATTATTGTTTTATGTTAATGTAAAGGTGAAGTGTCAACGAACACAATACTATTGTTGAGGTTTTATTTTTTATTTGCATTGATAAAAGTGATAATGATATTTGCGTGAACGACAAAATGGTTAGTACTAGTTCGCCCGGTGGGGCGAGTATCTACGATAGAAAAAGAAATCATTTTCGTGGAATACCAAAAGCAGAAATTCAAAGAAGAACTAATATTCTTTTACAAGCAATGACGGTGAGTTTATTTTTGCTTGATGAGAATTTATGTATTATACAAAGTGTCTCATTTAAAACCACATGTAATACTCTTGGTTTTTATAAACAAATAAAAGGTAGTCATAAAAGTTGGTTTAGTGAAGAAAATGTAATATTTATTGTTGTGATTTTATGAACAATTTTTTTGTTAAGATATGAGAATCATTATGATTTTATCATTTGGGGGGTTAAAATATCAATTTTCATTTTTAAGAATTTTTACGACTGTCGTATTATGACAACTGTACATTTATGAAATAAATAAATAGCTGTAATAAATATTACATTTTTTTTTTCTTAAAAAACTTGTTTATAAAATTAGGAAGATCGAACATGGTTGATCGTATCGTTTAAAAAAAGATATTTAATATATATATATATATATAATATATAATATAATAAAAAAATATAATAAATCAAAATAATATAATAATTATATATACAGGATGTTTTCGGTAGACCTAATAATAAAATGTGTAATAAATGATAGTGAATATTATTTAGGTCGATGATTTATATTTTTCACAGATCGAGGAACTTTACACTGCCCTCGTGTATATGACACAACATCAAATCGGATATGATGTTAGTAACGAATGTGCACAAGAAGCATTGTTAAATCATTTGCAAAATGCATTCAAAATTGACAATGAAACTCACGAAAGAATTAGGGAAGAAACGCAAAACATGGAGGTTCTTAATTTTTGTTTTGTTTAAATCAATTTCTTTTTTTTTTATCTATAAATTAGTTCACAATTACAATTTGATATTAAAGAATAAATTCTTATATTTTTAATTAGCCTCCAGAAATGCGTCTCAGTGTAGAAGTAATCGAAGCCAAAGAATTGGTATCCAAAGATTCTAATGGAAAAAGTGATCCCTTTTGTGCCCTTTATCTCGAATCGGCTCCTACTAGAAGATACAATACTGCTGTAAAAACTTTTACGCTTAGTCCAGTATGGGAAGAACATTTTGAATTGTGAGTGTGATTATTTTTCTTTATACGATTATTAGAGATGTTTTAATATAATTCTTTGATAAACGGATAAATTATTAGAAATTGGAATTATTAATATTTTAGAGAAAGATATGTATCGTTTTTTGTTTAGCACAATTTGATTTAAATATTATTCCGTTTATCAACGAATTATGTATTTTATTCTGCACTCGGTTGATAATATTGTTTTCATGTGTTATCTGCTAATACGAAATTTTGTCTATTCCTTCAGTAGGCAACGCATTTGTACATTTATGTAAAGAACCCCATCGTTGCCTATTGCAAGTAACACCATGAATCAATCATAAAATATTGTTACTATTAATTGGCACATTAATAAATATTTACATATTGAATTGTTCATAACTACTAAGAAACGAATATTAAATAATTAAATGTTATTTTTTTTTATAGACCTTTAGAGGATCCAGAAAACGATGTCTTATCTTTAGAAGTTTGGTAAATATTTTTCAAGATATTTCATTTATATTCGATTAATATTAATATATTTTATTCTTACATGGTTTTTCTTTTGTAATAGGGATTTCGATGCAGCTGAAACTGTTCCTGAGAAAATAAGTAAAGTTAAAGATATTAAAGGTGTTCGTGGTCTCGTTAAACTTGCTAAAGAAATTGCTGTAACAGCCACAACTGGTAGTCATGATAACGAATTTATTGGACGTTGTCGAATACCTTTGAAGGTATTATTCATTTAATTATTTAATATTATATAATAAAATAACGAAGCAATAGTAAAAAAAAAAAAGAATGGAAATGAAAATAATTCTTTAATGAAAACAAAAATATTAATAATAAGTTCATATTAATATCAAGTTCACTCATGAAAAATTTATTGAACGATCAATAAGAGCAATATTGCATTACGATAGATCATGTCAAATCTTCTATTTGTTCACGTGACTGTTTTATACGACTTTAATAGGTTTACAGTGTTATGAACATCTGGTTACATTATTCACATTGTTATATTATCCCCATTGTAGATAATTTACATTTGTTTAGTTCATGATTATCATTATATTGATTCTATACTCTTTATTTAAATATTTATTTTTATATGAATTAATTTTATTTAGGATATTCCAACTACTGGACATACGATGTGGTATTCTTTGGAGAAAAAAAATAAGACTAAACGACGAGGAGTTGTTAAATTAAAATTGGCTTTTAGTACGGAACACAATGCACAAGTTGCTGCACAAGAGCATAGACATTTATTAAGAGTTTTATTGTTATACGAACTTGAAACTGAAAAAGTTGAAAAATATTGTTGGTGTGGTCGATGGTCTGGTCCAGCAGAAGCTTTGATACTTCAACATAGTGCACAACGTGGTTTATTGGATAGAAACGTTGATCTGGCTAAATGGATCGAATATGCTAGGATTCATCAAGAACATCCACTTAATTTTATGGTTTTTAATAAATTGATAGTGGATTTATTAAGACCTATGGATAATGGATTATTTTCAACAGACGAAACTAAATTATTTTGGGATGCAACTAGGAAAATACTTTATTCTTGTTTAAACAGTATAAGAAAAATAAGAAGATTAGTTTTAGGAGATAAAAATGCCATGTCACAGTTAACGGCTATTTTAGGGTACAATATTTTCTTTGATCTATCAAATATTAAAAAAAAAAATTTTTTTTAAATAATAATTATATTAATCTAATTAATTTTAGGATATTATCATCCATTTCTACTCTTAAAATTCCGGATGATTTTGATCTATTTCCTGCGAAGATGTATTCTTGGTTTCCAGAACCGGATGGTACGAAATTGGATGTTTTTCGAGGCTTAGAAAATACAGTTATACAAGGTTGTATTGAATGGTGAGTATTTTGTTTTTATACAAATTATATATATATATATATTACGTCCTATGGCGTCAAAGAATTTAAATGAAAATGTATTTTTTAAAAGTACAAATGAAAGTTCGCATAGCATATTTTTTTTAGAAATATTAGGAGTTCATCAGAGATTTAGGAAGTTTGCAAGTGTTTATAGAAAAAGGATAATAAAAATATAAAGGTTTGATAAAGATCATAAAATAGGTTTTGGATTCTAACATGTTCCTCATGTTGTAGAAATCTAGCTTTAAACAATGAAAATGTTGAGCGTAGAAAAAAAATATCATGTGGGTAGATCACACGTGTTAGAAGTGAAACCTTCGGAAAACTAAGTTTCGAGAGAATGAGACGAATGCAGAATATCAGGTGTAGGATAATTGTAGGGTTTATTTGTTATAATATCATTATTATAATATTGTTACCACATTCAAAAATTATTTTACGTTTTAATGACATATAATACAAAGCATATTATACACTAAGCAAGTTCTCAATTTGAAGAAATGAGACGAGTTGCTTATGGTAACTAAAAAATGCATGGTAACTAAACACCTCTGTTAGTGTAGCAAACACCTCTATAGTAAGGTTTTTTCCGAAAAGTAGTGAGGTTTTTTTCCGAAAAGTAGTGAGGTTTTTTCCGAAAAGTCTGTAGGGTATTTCCGATAAGTCCGTAGGGTATTTCCGTTAAGTCCGTAGGGTATTTCCGATATGTCTGTAGTTTATTTTTCATTAGGCCTTGTAAAAGAGTCTCGTAAACGAGTTCCTTTTTTAAAAAACTTTTTTATTTTATTGAAAAATTTCGCGTTGACCGCGTTTATTTACTTTTCAGATCACTCCCATTCTAAAGAAGTTTTCACTTCAATAAAAACGTTTACAGGACGTAACATATATGTAAATATACAATTTTTCTATTATGATTTATATTTATATTTATGATTATATATTATTATGTTAAAAGGTATGAACATATAACAAGTAATACTACTCCTGAGACTAATTCGGATGAAGATGTACTCAGATTCCACATTAAAATAATTCAATTAATCAGAGCAGATTTACAACGATCTATAGATCATTACGACAAATTGTTCATTAAGTAAGATATATATATATATATTTATATGAAGTATTTTATAATTAATAGAATTTATTTGATGTGTGATCTGTAACAATTTTATTTTTTCTAGAAAAATGAATTTTCCTTATACAAGAACATTGTACATTACTTATGAAGAAAAAATAAGTGACATGTGCATGGATGTTGTGGAAGATTTATGTGTAAGATTGAAACGTATAGAAGTTGATAGTAACAACGATGCTGAATTAAGTCTTGGTACAACTTTGTTTGAACTTTATCTCACGTTACAACGATATGCTGTGTAAGTTATTAAAATAATAAAGTAATATAATGATTAGTATACATCATTATTAATAATCATTATTTTATCAAATATTATATTATCATTAATAATTATTTTGTATCATTTGTCTAACAAATATTTGTTTTACATAGATTTGGTCAAATGGTGTGTGCAGAAGGACAATTAGAATCTATGAAAATTCAAAATTATCACGATTGGTTTAGAGGTGGTGTAGCACATTGGTTGGATATTGCAGTTTATAAAGCTTTGAAACGAATCGATAGAGCTGTTGAATTTGATACGCTACAGGCTGTTGATAATACTGTGCAATATACATCCAGTGCAGTAGATACTTTAACAATTTTTTATCAAATTAAAGTTTTTTGGACACAATTGGCATGGCCTGATGTTGAAGGATCTTATACGTTTATCGCTAAAATAATAGACGTGAGTTATTATTATTTTTTGAATGTTATTATAATTTATAATATTTGTTATTATAATAAGATGAATATAAATATTGCGTTACAGGATATTTGTAAGTGTTCTATTGCATATGCCGATAAGATGGCTACAAAAGCAGAAACTACAACAGATTTAGAACAACTCAATGAAAGTAGTGTCTATGAGAGAAAATTTTTGGTATCTAATGCCTGGTGCTTTGCTATTAATAATATTGATTATATCAGAACATCTATTGGACCATTGGCAAATGATTTGGGTCTTCAAGCTATCGTTGATGCTTTAAAAGAAAACAAAACGGAGGAAGAAGCTGATCGTTGTAAACAAACTCTTGAATTGATCATCGCTAATGCAGCAGATACAGTTAGAAATAAAATTATTGAATTATTGGAATTTGTAGCTCATAAAATGGCTCCTGCTATGAGTAGGTAAGTAATATTGTTTATAAAAAAAGATATACTATACATGTACCAAATATTTAATCACACAATTGCAGGTATCTCATGGAAGGAGCTGAATTAATAGATACAACTAGTAATGCGATGGATCGACTATTGCAATATCTTGATTCTAATTTAACAACGTTACACGATAATCTTAGTCAAGATAATTTTGAAAGAGTTCTATTAGTTATTTGGGAGATTATGTCTGAAACACTTTATCAACTAGTTAACAGTAATTTAGAAGTAAGAAACGTATTTTTTTTTCTTTTTATTAATTCACTTAATTGAGTGAATAAATATGTATAAATTTAATGTATTTATTTGAACAATTATTTACAGAAAAGAAGACCACCTTCTTTCTACTCTAATTTACATCGGACACTTCACACGCTCATTAAATTTTTCAATCTCGGTGCAGATGAAACGTCAAACGTACAGGTATTAGAGAAGATCGAAGAACTTTTGAAACTTCATGGTTTGGAAACAGCTGAGCTCATTCATCGATATAATCAAGATCGATTGAAAGAACAGAAAGAAATGGAAGAAACTATTTATGGTCTTCTCACTGTAAAAGCTTCCTTCTTGAACAATTCGTTGAACATTCAAATTCTCAATGCCAGAAATCTACGACCGATGGATAGCAATGGTGAATAAAATAATATTTATTTATAAAAACGTAATAAAAGAAATATTATAATATACGAGTTACATGTGTTACATACGTGCAAAAGAATTATAAATGTAGAAAATTAAAAGCGTTACTTAAATAGAAAGTGCATGTGCAATATCAACAGTACGAGAATGGCAAATATTAAATGAACAATACGAATTAAACGATTGACGAATATTCGAACTAAGAAAATAATAATTTCTAATGAATTATATTTTTAATGCGATTGGGTAATTGGTAAAACGAGGTGTAGACATAGAATGATATGTTTTTCGATTTTATAGGAGATTTTATAGGCAAGCTGTCTACTCTCGAGCGTAAACTGCACTCTAAATCTAAACAAAGACTGAAAGAAGGGAAGAAAAGTATGTAAATAAAAGTGGACGCAATCAAATTCTATATTTCATCTCTGTTACATAACTCGTACTGGTCGATTGCTTGTCCTAAGTGAGATTAGATTTTGAAAATGCATGGCACCGATATATTATTTTCGAGTAGAAATAATGTAGCCCTTTTTAAACGACACAATGTTCTTCCTAGCTCGAATAGTTGGATAAACTGGCACGGATATAAAAAATAAAAAAATCGACAGATTTGTTCATTAACTAGATTCTTATTAAATAAATATCTCTAAATATATTTGATTAATATTTTAAAAAATTATTTCATTATCAAAATTAAATAGAGTCTCGTTGATGAACTGTCGATTGTTTCCAACAATCACCTTCACCGTGCATGTTTCGTTATACATTGGGGTTTTGAAAATATCACTCAAGTAATAGTTAATTAAATGCACATTTTCTTTTTTTTACAGGCAAATGTGACTCTTATGTTAAAATAAGATTGTTGCCGGAAAACAAATTTATCGATACTAAGACACCAAAGACACACGTACAGAAAGAAACTTTGTTTCCTCTTTTTGATGAAACTTTTAACATGTAAGAGACTTGTAATTTATTTATGTTAAATTTAAACGTTTGTTTATTTTATATTATTACTTGAATGTATTTTACAAATATTTTAGTCCTCTTACCGAAGAACAAAGAGCTATAGAGGATGCTATAGTAGCTTTTGAAGTTAAAGACAAGGATTTCTTACGAACTAGATTTATGGCTGAAGCTTTTCTAGCATTCGGTGAAATTTCAGAAATGGGACCAGATAAAGGAATGGAATCGATGGAACAAATTCATTTGAAACTTTCACGGCCAAGCAATAAACGTATGAATTAGAAATTATATATTTTTTTTCAAATAACAAAATTTGTCTGTGAGTTGTTTTAAAAATTATTCAAACATTGCTTAACGTTATAACTTGTGTTTTTTTTTTTTTTTTAAGGTACGGACGTAATTCGAGCTTTAGAACATAGAAAAGGAGACAACCAAGCAATGGATTTCATATCTAAAATACATAATAAATCTAATGCAAAATAGTAGGAAAATCTATGAACATAAAAAAGTCATATCGAACAACGTCCATAAGTGTAGCTATTATCACTCATTGCCTTATATCATTGTTATTTTTAATAAATTTTACTATTTAATAAAAAAAAAAAAAAATAAAAAAAAGAAAAAAAGAAAAGAAAATGTAAATAATATATTTAAATTTGACAATTGAGATATTTTATTTGAAAATAATTATTTTAAGCTGTTTATGTGTAACATTTTTATACTTTTCCTGAATATTTAAAAATTGTCGCATTTCATAACGTTAAGAAACTTAAAAGGCTGAATAAGTGTTACATATATTCAGTATATGTATTTTCATACATATGAGAACGTCTAGTTTAACCCTTTGAGTGCTGAATACTCTTGGCTGAACGGAATAATTTATTACTAGAGTGAGTTTTTTGTTGATTAATTATATTAGGAACAGTTAACAATAAATTATAATTGTCTTTCTTCCAAATGAAATTACAAACAAGTTTATTTCGATTATAATTTTGATCTGACAAGGATTCGAAACAATTACTAATACACATGGTGTATTCTTTGTATTCAAATTTAAAAATGCATATACATGCTCATAATTCATATTAAAAACTTTAATAAAATTCATAAATGCGTTTACAGAACTCAAAGGGGTTAATAAGATGATATTTATACAATGTCTTTTTTATAAGATAATATGAATGTGGCAAAAATAATTTTACATCGAATACATGTACATAGATAAAGACGTGTTAAATCATTTAATGTAAATACGTATAGCAGCATTATTATTATTATTATTATTATTATAATAAGTAGTTCATATTTTTGTAATCTACTTATATAAAAAAGAGATTTATAATAATTTCAATTATATTATTATATTTTAATTATATTATTGCAAAAGTATGCAATAAGCAAAAAAAAAAAAAGAAACAAAAAAAAATTAAATCAAAAAATATAATTTAGATTAAACGAATCAAATCGAGTGTTTTATTGTCTTATTACTAATATAAGAATACTTTTTGGTATAATCAACTTTAAACAATTTCTTGTCCCCTATCCTAATGTTAAATTTTTATGCATGTAAGCATTCAAACAAAATATATCCACCAATAAAGTCTCATTTTTGAAAGATGAAGGTTTAATTAAATAAGAAAAGCTTTTAAAACGAATAGATTTTTATGGCTTTAAAACATCCCTACTAATTATAATACTTCTATTTTTATATTCTATAAGAAACAACAATTCTTGATGAAAAACCCTTAATATTCTATTTTTATTCACTTAACTGTCAATGTCTATTCGTCGCGAATGAGTTTGTCTTCTTGCACATTTATTTAAAATATCGAAATATCGACATATCAAAATTAATCTCTATTAGATAAACTATGTACGAAGCAATGCATGTAAGATATTTATTACATGGTATTCTGGATAAAAACGAGTAAATTAATGTTCGATTTCATTATTACTGACCACGAACAAAACACGTAATAAAAAAGAGAGCGCATTTATTAATTGTATTATTAATTAAATGAATTTAACCGATGTGACAAGAAAACCTATCCTGAACTAATAATAAAACATACAATACAATATACAATTTTCATGAGTAACTTCTAAAAAGGAATTACTCATGGTTCGTGAATAATTTATTTAAATAATTACAACCAGTAATTCGTGCCGATTTGGACCTTTCATCCTCAGCATGATTGAGCACTGGAGGGACTTTAAATAAAAACTTACGGTTTAAGAAGTTCTACGATGGTTCCAAAACACTTCTACTTCTCAGCAAGTATTGTAGTTTGATGATGGAAGACGATACTCGATTTGCCATTGAAAAAGATCCACCGAAGATCCATCCAAAATCCATCGAAGATCCAACAAAAGTCCATCGAAGAGTTCATTCAACATCTTTGAAAGGAAGAGAATCCATAATTATATCTGGAATATTATTCAAATCATTTCAATTCAAAATCATATAAAATAAAATCGAATAAAATGTAAATAAAAATGAATACTTACAATGCATTTCAATGAGATGCAGCTCTATTGCACCATGGTAATGCACCTCGCGTGAATCTAATAACGCGGTATAAACGAAAATAAGAAACTATAAATGAGTTTCTTATCGCGAAACCGAAATTTTACTTATACGGCGAACAACACTGATTTTACATACGCGTATAATTTGAATTTAATTTACGCCCGCCCGGTCACTGACTCTATTTCGCGATCAAAAATTTGACTTTTAATTAATCGAACAAACACTGACTCTATAAACTACTTTAAAAAAACTGCATTGCACGCAGTCAAATGCAAACACACACGATTGCAATGATATTCTGAAACAGAAAAATGAAAAAGAACAATTAATAATCATAGTCGTAATAAAAAACCATTGTAATTATAATAGAAATGATTGATAGAAAAATTATACTTACTTGCAATCGTCGGTGATTAATGCCCGATGGGTCTCCTACCCTTTAAGATGACGATGACCAGTAGACGGTTCAAACGACGGAGAAACTTACTGTGTTTCTTATTGTGACCACGGCACTGACTCTACTTCACGATTAAAAATTTGACTTTAATTATTCGAACAAATACTGATTCTATAGCTAGTTTAAAAATTGCATTGCACGCAGTCAAATGCAAGAACAAAACATTTCAATCCCGGTCACTTCACTGACTCTACCTTCGCGAACAGTTTGTACGACTGTTATAAATAAAAAAAAAACTATAACTTTATCAATCATCAACTTTATCAATAGTCAATTTACTATGTAAATTTCAAAAATAAAGCGTACGCTAAACACGACGAAATTTAAATTAACGAACGAACGAGTGCGCTTCTAATCCGTGATTTTAAAATTATATAATATAAACGAACAAACATTTCTTTACATTACTTCGAGCACGATTGCAATCTACAACAGAAATCAAAAACAATACTATTAATATCATTACTATTATTGAAAACCATTAAAATTTTGTACAATTATTAAATACAAAAATATACTCACTTCGAATATGCATCGATGAATGCACGATAGGTCTCCTACCTTTAGGATGACGATGAGCACACGTTTAAGCCGAATAAAAGAAACTTGCGAGTTTCTTTACCCGAAAAAACGAAACTTTAACATGCGACGATCAACACTGAATCTACTTGTCGACATTTTTATATTTTATTTTAACACAATGCAACACACGAGTATTTCATTGCCTACACGCACGATTGCAATGTTCTGAAAAAGAAAAAGAACAATTAATGTCATTGTCGTAATAAAAACCTATTGAAATTATCATAGAAATGTTTAATAGTAAAACAYACTTACTTTTAGTCTTGATTGATGACTGCAGGATGGGTATCCTACCCTTAGGATGACGATGTATATAAAATAAAATTAAATAAAAAGTCTGAAAAGCTGAAACATACTAAAGATTATATTACAATATTTCCTGTCAATCATTTCTGAAGGCAGTGCACACATTCAAATCATCGATTATTTTTGATAAAATATTCAATGATAAATAGAAAGAAATAATTTAATAATCTATTAGAATTGACATAATTCAAAGTTAAAGTTATTAAATATTTGAGAAATTGATAAAAGTATGCAACTATTTGTTTGATAAATTACATACCATGTATGTAATGTTAGTAAAAATATTCATTAAAAATCTTTAAAATTGTCTAAATGAAACAGTAATTGCATCAGCATACTCAATAAAGAATAACATAAAAAATAAACCAGTTTTTATACCATTCTATGCAATGAAAAACTTTTTAAACTATTAAAATCAAAACGATGAGGTTAGAAATGAAATTATTAAATAATTTAATGCCTAGTTATTGTTGCCAGTCTTTACGTGTCGAAGGACGGAAGGGGAAAGAGATACGATGTTACTATTTATTCTTGAAAGTGTCGAACGTTCGGTGTTCGGGGGTACTCGGGTACTCGGTACTCGGGTATTCGGTACTCGGGTATTCGGTACTCGGGTATTCGGTACTCGGGTATTCGGTACTCGGGTATTCGGTACTCGGTATTCGGGGGTACTCGGGTTCTCGATGATCAGTGCTCGGTACTCGGCTATTTTTCTTTTGTTTTCAACTGTTTCTTTTTTATTTTCATCTCGAGAATTTCCTAGAAATATATGAACATATTTGACTACCTGGAAGTCGAATGTTTGTATTCTTTTTCTTTCTTTTTCGTGTTTTCTTTCTATCTTACACTTTTTCTATAACACTTCTTTTTGCTTTAAAATAAAGAGATAGACTTACCTAGATAGTTTAGCCATTACCTTGATGAGAAAGGAAGCACGATTCTTAAATTGAATAAATGTATTCGTATTGGATTCTCCCAACGCTTGGAAAACTAAAATAAGTAAGAAATAAAATTACATTAGTACAATGTAAAGAAAATCAAATATATGAGTGTAGGTATACGATTTACCTATACTTATGTATATATGCGTATATGTATGCGTATGTGACAGAAATCAAATTTAATACGATATACGATTTTTGAATACATAATTATGAAAAATAATTAATTCGAACATTATTAGAGATGATAAAAAGTATTGACACCATGAGAAAAAGATAAAAATTAGACGAAATATTATAAGTTTGCCTTTTTAACTTACAAGTCATCACTGCGCATGAACCATAAATTAATTATATTAGAATAAATAAAATAGTAAAATCTGAACGTTATAATATTAATTTTTCTTTATTAGAATTGTTACTATCGTTGCACACATGATCAACATAAAAACATGTCATATAAACAACTTTCTAATTAATGTTTTGTTTGAGAGAACAACGGCTCAGTCTATAAGTGAATTTCGAAGAGGAAGGTACTCCAAAAATATATTCCGTACTTTTCAGCAATAATCGACACTTCTATCGATTAATTAACAATTATTTTAATACTCTAATACACTCTACTTATATTAAAGCACATTTTAACACTCGAAGTTATCACTGCACATGAACAACAAATTAATTACATTAGAATAAATAAAATAGTAAAATCTGAACGTTATAATATTAATTTTTCTTTATTAGAATTATAATTACCGTTGCACACACGCTCGACATAAAAAAAAGTCATATAAACAACTT